ACAGTAGCTGTCATGTGACTTGCTTATTTGTATATTAAAAAACCAACTTAATATTTCGTTACGTATTTTTGTTATTTCGTCCAACTTGTAGTAAACATTACTGCTTATGTCGATTCAAATTAGTATCATATTTATTTATGAATATATTTGTTATCTTAATCATTTTTTTTTATTATTCAAAAAATGTTTGTACGTGCATTTCACGTCCAAGTTCCTTATAGTGACCCTTCTCACAAAAGTTGTTCCGTTTCCTAGGTAACGATGTAGCAACACAACTCATCAAGGTTCTTCTGAACACCAACATGTTTGTTGGTGGATTTATCGGATTTCTATTGGATAACACCATCCCAGGTAAGTTTTACGAGCGCCATCTATAGGTGGACTTTTATAATTATGTACTTTATCGGAAGAAAGGGGGGGCTAGTGTCGGGAGAGGTTTATTACTTGAGAAAGACTTATTATTACTCCGTTTAAAAAACATTATATATATCTGTGCGATATTACAATTTATTTAACTAAAACCTTCAGCTTGCTGATCTTAAAAATTGAATTAATAAAAACATTTTTAAACAAAACATATTTTCAATATACATTTTTAGATTACTCCTATCTACAGTTTTTAAATGTGTCATGTTTCATAGTCTCTCAGAACGTTATTAGAGTTTATTTTAATATTTTGCTAGTGTCCACAGAGAAGCAAATATACGATTATAAAATACCGTGCGTCACTCTTTAGAGCATTTGTAAAAAAAAACATAAAAACACTTTTGTATATTTTTTCTCCGTGTTTTTCTCTCTTTTTTTGTATTTGTGATATGGTAAATTTGATAGTGATTCTTTAACCTGCGTGGTAACATAAATATATTATATTTAACACGTAAGTACTTCTGTTGAGAAGATTAACTCAATATAACAAGGAAATCTTATTTTGATATCATAATTACAAAGCATCCGCAATATTATTTCCAGGAACAGCGGAAGAGAGGGGGCTCAGCGGGTGGAGAGAACAAGGACAAAACAATAACACTTGTGATGGTGAAATTTCCTATAAAACATACGACTTTCCTTTCGGCATGAAGTTCATTAGAAAATTTAAAGTGTTTAGTTACTTTCCAATAAGTCCTACATACGACGAAAATATTGTTGTTGGTAAAGTGAAATCTCTTATTAAATTTAAAGGAATTTTGCCCCAAAAGAAGAATACAAAATACGACATTAACACATAATTCTAAGATATTTATTTCTCGTACCCTAAACACTGTTAAGTTTGGTTAACTGTATTCATTCCAGAGGAACGGCGACTCAGATTTTCTACATAATAAAATTGTATATTATTTGTTTATTTGTAACCAATGTCTTCTCTTGCGTAATTTCACAGGTTTGTTTTTATTGATGGAGCAAATCTTATCATCCAGCACTGCACAAAACACAAAAACGCGAACGTATCAAATTATAACATGGGTGAATAAGAGGAAAATACTTTTTCATCACGAACGTATCAAATTATAACATGGGTGAATAAGAGGAAAATAGTTTTTCATCACGAACGTATCAAATTATAACATGGATGAATAACAGGAAAATAGTTTTTCATCATGAACGTATCAAATTATAACATGGGTGAACAAGAGGAAAATAGTTTTTCATCACGAACGTATCAAATTATAACATGGGTGACTAAGAAGAAAATAGTTTTTC